AAACTGTTTCACCATTAATTAGTGTCCACCAACAGGTGGAGAAAAATAAATAAAATATGTATGGTACCTCGAAGAAACCGTAGTCTGCCGAGTCGACGATGACGGTGAGCTTGTAAGTTCCATCGTTGAGGAGGCCCTCCATCGACGTGAACGGCATGACGAAGACCTTGATCGCCAGGAAGCTGATGAGAGCCGCCGAGTAGGCTGCCAGGATGATGGCCCCGGTCATGTGCACCACCCAATTGATGATACGTATCGAGTCGATGTTCACCGAGTCGTGACCTTGAATTGCACGTATACGACGTTACATGTATCGATTATCCATACATTGGTCAAACGGGGATATACCTTGGGCGCAGAGTGCCCCGAACGTGTGGAAGACGGTTTCGGTGAGCTCGAGGCTCGCCTCGTTTCTACGCTCCGGTGGAACGGACCGTTGCACCGACTGCAGCGTCTTGCACCCCATGAGGGTGAGCGCGCTCGACAGGGCGATGACTATCAGAAGACTCGTCCAGATCCCGGGGTAGAACGGGTCCGAGTACGCCGTCCACTTGATGGCCGTGTAGTACGGCCTCTTTATGTATATACGGTACCTGTCGTTTGTTCGATTTTTTTAACTATTTTTAGTTGTGGGACATTGTTTATAGCAATGCTGGGGAGGCTGATAAATACATGTATGTCGAACCGGCTCGATTTAAATAAAATAATACCGCGCCGTGTATAATATATATGGACTATCGAGTAAGACGATTTGGTATGATACTCATACTGTAAAAAAACAAATCGGTGATTCGGTGTACGAAAGTAATGTAATTTCGAGACTTTTGTTTTTTCTTTTTTTTTTTTTTTTTTTTTTTTTTTATTTTATTTATCCATAGCAAAAAATGTATTTATCGTATTTAAATATAAAATTGATTTGATATAAAAATTGATAAAAAATTGATGAAAAAAAAACCAGAGAGATAAAACATTATCATAATTGTGTCATGATTCGTATAGGACGTATAGGTGAACTTATTTGTCAATAAGCGCTACAGACCCCTGCGAAGGTGATATCGAATGATTCACGCATTTTTCTTTCTCGAATAAGATACATCATTAATAAATCACATGACGCGATAAGCCGCGAGATAGTCACAGCGGCTTCATTTACTTATCTCAATGGAAAAATTGTTTTTTCCTTTCTTTTTTTTTTTGTGCAGTTATTCAACGCAATCGACATTAAAAAATATCATGTCAGTTTTAGGAATACAAATAATTTTTTTTTTTTTTATACTCCTTATATTGACTGTACGTATGCACTTTTAGACAAAAATTTCAAGGTCGAATGTAATATCACCGAAACTGTGCAACCAAGCCAGTTATAAATATCATGTACACATTTTATTACTCTCCATCCATCCATGCAGCGAAGCTCGTATTTTTTGTCGATCAATGTCTTTCGTCTCAAATAATCGCACACGACCACACAGCCATCGGAGAGAAAAGAGCATTGAAATAAAGCTGTCGATTCAAAGCATGAGGTATACGAGCACGTAACATCCGCGTGCCTGTGTCCGCGCTAATACATATATAAGCACCTATGTGCTGATGTGGGTGGGCTCGGTTCCAATAAGCTTTTGAGACTCGTGCCACGTGCGCTCGTCACTTTCGAAAGCCAACTTGTGATCGAATGATGCTATGAAAGGGCTGACGAAAATCCAATACTTTGTTCCAAATTATATAAAAAATAAATTACGTGTACCACCTGCAATGCGAGTACGAGTAATACTTGAAAGTTCCACAAAAGTATTTCGAATTCGTGTGTTGAAGGGTCCTTCCAGGCTTTTTTAACGCTTAATGTGAAGAGTAACAAGTCGTTTTATTCCTTACTAGAAATTAAATACAACTAACTCGCTTGCATAAGCTGAATTTTGTTTTAAAAAATGACTACGCATTTGCACACATATGTTTTTGCAGCGGACCAATATTCAATCAATTAATTTGCATAAATTATTCTGTTTCTTTCAATATTCATCTTAATTATCCTCGGGGATCAAACAACAACAGAAATAGAAAGACAACACGTTCATCCAAATCAAAAACCACGACATGAAAAAAAAGAGGAATCAATGAATCAGGAAAAGGTCCTCTAACTGATCACCATCGATTAAATAAAAAAATGTCTGCTCCTACAAGTATCCAAGAACGATGTAATATTTAGATTGCACGCAACTTAACATATTTGGGTGGGGGTATTTTTTCAAACGTGTTTCATGATAATTTTTTCTTATAATAAAATGTGTTATTTTAGCTCAACAAAATTTTTCCATCAAAACAAATTTATTCTCTATTTTTAAAGAGAAAAACCAGCGGCTTGACTTGTGCAACGAAGGGCTGTACGTTGTTGCGTGGTAGGCTCTACCGCTATGATATTATTGTGTAGACGTGGTTAAGTCAACAAGTGTGAAAGGAACTTTTTTTTTTTGCGAGGATTCTTTACTGTTATCATTTGTCTTTTCGTTGAAATCGAGCTGTTTCGAAAAAAGTNGTATAAAAAAAAAATAATAATAATAATCGTGCCCAAAAGTATAAAAGATATTACAAACACGCAAGTAAATATAACAAAGCGCATCGCGAAAAAGAAAACGTGTGCCCTGGCATGGTTGGCATGTAAATATTACGCGGCAAAGGCGAATAATCGTATACAATAATGAAACGTACAGCGTACGTGTCAAATACAATCGCACTCTTATTTTAGCGCCGATCCCCCCCCCCTCGAAGTGTATTCAAGGCCCATCGTCATCGTAGTCTCTCTCACAGTATTGTCACGTCTTCGGATTGTCAACACCAACCGAGGCGCTCTTGTCAGGTCCACCTCGTTTGGAAGGAAAATTCCTCTCGCATGTTTTTTTTTTTTTTTTTAATATATTTTTTTTTCTTATAAAATTCAATGCTGTGATGTTAAAATCATGGTTCGCCAACTCTACTGAATTAGGACATTTTTTTTACAATCATCTATAAAGTACTGAAAATTTAATTTAACACACAAGCGAGTTACATATTTACGATTTGATGTGTATTTGATTAAATAATTGATAACAGATAGGTTCTGAAGGTGTTGAGATAAATTATTACGTCTAAGAGTCGGCATTGAAATAAATCCTCAAACTTTGGTACATGCAGTCATTTCAAAGGTTTTAGTCAACTGTACGTCGATATTTTGTAATTTAATCACACGCGTAATGACGACCACAAAAGTTGAAGGTGGTGCATCCAAAACTTTAAATCAAATTTATGAATTTGATAATGGATAATAGAAATGTCATATTAAATGATTACATGATCAAACGTTCGTTTTACGTACGTTTCACTTGATTGCTCTCAGTTGACTGTCCGGTGTACTTATCAACGATGCGCCCATTGTCTCCCACGTATAAAAACCGAACAATCGCGGAGCAAGGAAAGGAAAAAAAAAACTTCTTGCAAAGGACAACGTCAATCATCATCATCAAGGACCTTTTTGTTAAAAGTACCTACAATTTCCAAGTGCACAGCGCAAAACATATAATGGCTCTTCGATCTAAAAAACTCGAGCCAAGGGCAAACTCGAAAGACACGAGGGTCTTCGTATCTCCGTAAACGCAATCTGTGGTATCGTAGGTCGTGGCGTGACGACTTGTCGTTAATTTACATTGTCGGGCAAAAAAAAGGACAAAAAATAATAATTTCCAAATCGATCCAGGGCTACCATTACCGTGTACACTCCTGAGACCATGTGACCCAATTTGACGGCTAAAACTTTTATCGTACATTGTCTGTGTGAATTACAGCGATGCGCGCGAGTGAAAATGAGGAAAATTTGTCAAAGAACTCTGCGTGTATGAAATTCACGTGACGAGAGAGTCTCGGCGCCGCCAGTGCGGTGAGAATAGCCGTGCGCACTCGAAAATCTAATATTAGCGCACAGCCGCCTGTTGGAATTTCCTCGACGATGTGTACGTGTGGGTGTAACCATATTATTATTATATGCTTGTACGGCTATGCAACGTGGTGTTTTTAATTTGCGTGTGTTATTGTTTATTAATTTTTTTTTTTTTATTTTCGATTTTCTGTCTTGGTTCCTCTGTCACTTATGGTAAAAAGAAAAAGATTGATAAATCACAGCGACCCTGGGATGAACTTACGATAGAGCTTGTTTTTGGGTAATTTTTAGTTTCCATGAAATATTTTTGATTTTCAGTTATTCATTAGTCCACACTACGTTGTCAATATTTTAAAATGGATTTTTTTTCTTTTTTTTAGAATTTCATTCGAAAAACCAATATATATTATTGTAGAGCAGTTAAAAAAAAAAAAATTAAAAAATTAAAAAATCTGACAATTGAATTAAATTAATATCACATGCTTGCACACGAAAAAGATAATCACCGGATTTTGTTATAGCAATTAAGCACACCAGGCCCATCAGAGATATCCCAAAATTGTTTTAAAATATTAATTTAATCGACTGTACCAATATTATACTAGTAAAATCGAGCTTTTTCAGTCATCCTAATGCACCTGTCATCACGTATACTTGGCGATGCCGATCACGAAATTCATCGTTCCGTTCGACTGATATTATTACCACGGGCCGACAGATTCTCGAGCATTGGCAATAGATCCAGGTAATCCAACCACGTATTGTAAAAAAAATGTCATCGATGCTCAAGGAAAAAAAAAAAAAAAAAAAACGCTCTCGATTTCTGTACGTCTACGTCTAACGTACCACCCTGACGTAAGTATATACAGTGACGTTCCAGTAAAACCCGCAGGGCGCAGGATCGATAAAATTCTCTCTATACATCTTTGCGTTGTACACATAATCCATAACCTACTCTGTTGCGATACACCCGCTATATACCTTTGCCTTGGCATACGTTTTTCTCTCCTCTATTCCTCTCCCTCTCCAAGGCACGCACACACGAATACACAAAATTTCACAACCGAAAAAAAATACGAGCGTAGGTATTACGTACCTCTTGACTGGACGCGCCTGCAACGACGAGCAGCTCCCTCAACATTCCCAGGGGCGATTATCCTCGATAGCTTTCTCTTTTTCCTTCGTTCTTCCTTTCTCAGGCACCGTTCCCTTCTCCCTCTTTTTCTTCCTTCTTCGAAAAAAAAAATCACTCCTAGGACTACTATTTATGCTATAGGTGGGTAGGCACACGGTAACAGGTATGTAGATGTATAAATACTTATATCTGCACTATTTTGTTATATTATCTTTTTTTTTTTTTTATTGTTCCGTTTGCTCTGCAAAAGAGAAAATTCATCCACATGAAACACCTATACACATAATATTTGCTTACACACACAAAACGTCAACCCTCCCTTTCCAATCACCCCTTGGATCCAGTTCTGCTCTCCGAGCCCTCTTTGTCGACCATATATACCTATTCATCCCTCGATACGCTATCGTCTCGCTGCTGATTCATTTTTGTTTTCTTTTAACCATGTGTACGCGTTAAGCTCTTAATTAACATGCTAGTATAATATAATATAGACGGCTCGAAGGGAGAGAGACGTCAACAAAGTCTTTTTTTTTTTCTCGAGCTTTGCACCCATGCGAGTAACACTGATTTTTTTCAGTTGGAAACAAAAATGTGACAAGGGCTCGAATGATTTGCCCTCAGCGTTACAGTTGGGTGCAAAACGATGCACGAGAGTGTTTTCAAACACATTTTCTGAGTCAGCAACTCCCTTCTTCGAGCCGTCGATATTTATAAGTTTACGAAATCACGAACATCATAAATAGATCAAGTAGAGATGAAAAAAAAAAAAAAAAAGAGGGCACGTACAGGTACGTGTATAGAGATAAAACTGATGAAACAATTATGTTATTAGTGACAAAAAATTACAATGATAATAGTAACAAATAGGAACTATTGGCCGTGTACACGCGCTTGTTTATTTCTCCCCCTCCCCCCACCCAGACCCACTGTGCATGTCATGCGTGGGTATGTATGTATATTTATGTGGTACAGAGGGTGGTGCACCGAGTCCCAATGCAGCTCCGTACATGTGTATACACTGATGCGCAATAACAAGTGGTTCGTCCCAATATCGCAAGCACGCACCCACGCACTTTTTCTCCCCCATCCAAACCACCAATGTGTACAAAAATGGCAAAAATGTACCTGAATACGATATATTTCACTGAATAGTCGTCTTTGCTCGCGACGTACAAAGAGGAGCAATTATTATGCGAGGCAAACAACAACAAGAAATATAAAAACCATCCACTATAGAGAGAGAGAGAAACGCGTTAACGATACATCCGCGTGCCACAACTATACGTTTATTATTATTATTATTATTATAATTATTGTTATTATGAGCGTGTAATTCCGCCTGCGAGACGTCGCTCTCCGGTACCTACTGTCGGCTCGCCTCGAAAGGGACGCCCGCGTGCCCGTGTTCGGTTTGTTCTTCTTTTTTTTCGGCACCGCAACGTGCGCTCCTCTTCTGCGCCGTTTCGCTCCCTCTCTCCGATATATTTGGCCTACGTGTATGGGGCACACGTGCCATCTCTATGGGCATACATAAATACGTGGTAAACAGGTAAAAGCTAATTTACCAACGAGCGTCTAAGTTTGTCGGCTAAAGGGTCTCGGGGGGATCCGGTGCACCCCGTGCTCGAATGAGGGAGGTATGGAGTACATTTTTCTATTAAAAAAACAAATAGTTGCTTTCTCAAAGACAATCTCTCGCTTGAACTTTGTAAAAAAGTATGAGGGGGTGTAAAACTTCACTGGGGATTGTTCTCAAAAACTATTAGATCTGCCGTCGTCGCTATCGAGTTTGATGACGTATGTGCAATTAAGATTAGTTTTTGTTTGTTTTTTCATTTAAAATTTTTTATTTCCATGTCACACGTGTGATTTGAAAACGTGGTTTTATCAACGAGGGGCAGTAACGGGAGCTGCCTTTTCGACGGCAGTAAACTCGTAATTGCGTTTAAAAAATATCATGGATTAAAAAAAATATTCAACCAACTGACATTAAATTACAAATGTGGAGTCGTGGTTATGGAGAGAATTCGATGAAACAGCCATTAACGAGGGCAAAAAGGGGCGCGTGCTCGTCCATACTCGCATTTGAGTAGATCAATGCGCGTCACGTCAGACGGACCGTCTGGCCACGTGTCTGACCCATAACACGGATGCATCTACTACTACTTGAATTACTAACGAGGGATTACGTTGTATCGATTTTTCTCTTGTCATTTTGCGATATTGAGCGGACTGGTATTGTTTATTTATAACATGCACCATAAAAGTAAAAAGATTAATGTGTATAGGTTACCTTCACAATGTACGAGGTTTGGTGAAATATTTCAAGTTTTTCAATACCAGAAAAAATTCAATTATTTCGTTGAGCCAAAATTAAACATAGATGCTTTTGTGGATCATTGCAAAATGGCTAAAAAAAGATACAAGTATGTCGCAGTGTGCAGTCCTTATCATTTCATCAACGCTTTGATAATTAATCAATGAAACAATCATCTCGGACTTACTTTTATCTTCGATCGCTTATAAACATATTATGTACTAATTCAAATGTAACGTCAATTTGCACATAGTATACATTTAAAATACGTTTAATAGCCCGAGGGAGCGATGCTCTATACCTTTAGATTTTATCAATTAAACATTTAACTTGCAAAAGTAGAAATACATAGGAAAAATATTGTCAATGTCATCACGCGCTTCTTCAATTAGCAATAATAAGTAATACCGCGCTTAATCTTCTTCCTCTTTCTTACCCATTTTCCTCCTTCCACCCGTTCATGTATATACATATATATGCTCTGCCAAGTGATCCCTTCCCCCTCTGGTTCTCTGTGATTTTTTTATTGTATCCTCCTCCCCTGGCTCATCCACATTTCCCTCCCTCGCATACATACTTTTACAATACGTGCACTCCGCAAGTCCGAAGTTCTGTTGATTCTTGATCTAACTGATGTTTACCTAAAAAGCAGATTGTGAGCGAGATGGTTTTTGCCCAACAGAGAGTTTATGTCAAGATATGCCTGTGTATCACATGTAAATAACAGTAATCAGGTCGACGCCTATAACGACTCTCTCTCTCTCTCTCTCTCTCTCTCTGGGTCTCGCAGATAACATGTCGACTCGTAGGTACACCTAGCCTGGACACTTAGCAGTTTGCAATACTTTTTATATTGGGGAAAAAAGAAAAACTTCACGCGTAAGTTGTATTTTCAATAAGTTCTCTTTTTTTTTTTTTTTTTTTTCGTTTCAAATTCGATTCCAAATTGTATTTGTTTGCTGCTTTCCTTACTTTAATTCTTATAATCATTTAGTATCGTTTCGCGTATATGATTTCGTGGACACTTGAGTGTAATATAATGTGCTTGGCACGTATTAACATGAACTTAACTTACGTGTGCAAAGATTACGAGGTGAATTATCAATATTCACATTTGAGTGTATTGGAGGCTTTTTTTTTTTGGAGCAATACCAGCTCAATCATCAGCTGCATGCTGCACACGTACCTATATACACATTATATATAGTCAGTCCGTAAGTATAATGTGTTTCCCTCTCTCTCTCTCTTTTTGTTGGATGCGTAGAGTTTTATGATGTGACGTATTCTTTAAGTATTTGTATCTACTTATCGTATTTGTTTACGCATACTCTTTGTTTATTACAAGTGTACAACTACAAATCAGTTTCAATTTGACGTTTGTCGGTTTATTATACTTGGATGTAAAATATTATTTTTGCTAGTGAACAAGTGATACGAAACAAGTTTGTTACAGCACAGTTTTAAGAAGTGTCATTATTATGCATGATTGTGAATGTATTCTTGCATATAACGTCACTTTGGTTATCATGCGCTTAAAATACTGTGTGTTACGACTCAAAGATTGATATAATTAGTGATTATAAATTATTTGGGATCTCAATACTTTCTGCTAGTGATTTTTATTTTCCAGTTTCCACACACATCCACTAAATCACTTGACTTTCTAAGAGTTTTGTTTGCATAAATTCGTCTTTTTGGAAAATCTTGCTGCGAAGTGGATCTGTAATTTGTGTAACAGTCTGTAGCATTTATATACGATTAACACTGCATTTTAAAGACTTGACTTTAACTTTTTAATGTCCTACAAGTTATAGGTTATTTTGACTTAATAAGATTTATTTTTTGTCAGATTTAAAACTGGATTTTTCTTTAACGAGATTTTCAGTACTTTATTCGTTCACTTACTTTTAATATATTAGCCTGTTGTGTTAAAAGACAAATTCTACATGCATTCAATTAAATGTATGCTTTGTTTTTCATGACTCATTGATATTGCAAAAAAGAGATGAAACAAAGTAATTCAGCATAAATTGTAGTTGCTATGGTTTTATTTTTAATTTGTGCTTATAACGATAAAATAAGTTTGTTTATTAAAAAAAAAATTAATGGTTTAAATTTTTATTACAGACTAAATCATGAATCCCCAATACATGCAACAGCAGCAGCATCCACTCTACGAACCTTCTCAGATGAATCCATCCTCATACGGTGAACTCAATGCCAATTTACCCCAAAAAAGTTTACACGATTTGCACTCTTATCCTCCGCAAAAACAACCACTTGGTCCACCACCCAGCAGTAATGCTCCACCAACAGCAAAGTCGCCTTATTACATGAACGATATTCAAAACCAAGCAAATAACTTTCACAATGGGCCACCTTTGCCACAGTCTAATCAAAATCATTTAGAGGACCAAATTTCGGGCCTAAGTTTGAGTGGTCCACTGAGGCCTCCATCTTCTCAAAATTATGCCTCACAGCTTGACAAAAATATACAATCAATACCTTTTCAACCGACTGTAAATGGAATTAGTAATCAAAATCATCCTCCTCCACAAGGTAATAATTCATTTAACTCGTGTGAATTTTATTTTTTATTTATCAATAAATAAAATAAATTGGTGCTCAGGTGATTTACCTTCAAATAACATGCCAATGGAACAATCTAGTCCACCATTACTCCAAAGGCCAGCAACTGCTCAACAACAAGGACCTCCAGTAGCTCATCCACCCGATTTCATATCTCCCTATGGACCCACAAGTGGAAGTCAATTTCCAGGACAACAACCACACACTGGACAGCAATCAACACAAGGACCAAACATTCCCAGAAGTGCACCCCAGCCTTCTCCACCCAATAAAAATTATCAAGATCAAGTTTCCAGCCAAAATAGGATGCCTCCTCTGTCAAAACCCCCCACAATGCCTCTGAGTTCCTCAGCATCTAGCAACCAACAACAGTCTTACGGAGCACCACCATTGCAACCTCAAGGTTACCACATGGGTAAACCACCACTCGGAGGGCCTCCAATGCAAAGTGCAAAACCTCAAAGTCTACCTGGTCCTCCATTAGCAAGCTCTTATGACTCTGCTCCACCAATGACCAATCCACAGAATTTATCGGGACCTCCTTTGCCAGGGCAGACTCTTCAAGGTTCCCCATCTCTTGGTCTTCCACAGGGCTTACCCAGACCTTCACTGCCTGGTCAAACTGGTCATTTACCGAGTCCTGGAGTACCTACCCAACAAAATTTGACTAACTCACTGGGACAACAAAATGTTGCTGCAGCTCCACAACCAGCAGGACATGCTCATTCACAGTATCCCTACAGCAATCAAGCTTATGGACAGCCGCCGCTGTCTCGTTATTCCCCAAGTCCATCTGCAAACACAACCAATGCCTACAGTCATATGAATCAGCATTCTGAGCCTTCCTATCCCCAGGGTTTTCAACCACCAAACCTTGGTCAAGTGAGTTATTGATCATATTTTTTACTGTTACTTTTAAATTTTTATTTAAAAATTAAAAATTGTACTCAGAACATGTACACCAACCAAAATCAATATCAAAGTGGGGTGGGAAGTCCCACAGGAGGATATGCTCAGTCTCAAGCAAGAAGACTCGATCCTGATCAAATGCCTAGTCCCGTGAGTTATTTATATACTGAATAGTGTTTTTTTTTTTTTTTTTTATATTTATGAAATTATCTTTATGCACAATTTAGATACAAGTCATTCAAGATGATCAAAAAACGAAAGGCGGAGTTTTTGCAACGAATCAAAAAGGATTAGTTCCACCTCTCGTTACCACTAAATTTGTTGTTGAAGATCAAGGAAACGCATCGCCAAGATTCGTCAGATCAACGATGTACACTGTCCCTACAACGGCTGATATTATCAAACAGGTAAAAATTCATTCGTTTATTTATTTTTTGTAAATAAATTAATCGTATCTCGGTAATAACGCGATTAAATGTTTCCATTAGACTCAGATTCCATTCGCTCTTATACTCAGCCCAATGGCTCAAGTGGAGGAAGGTGAATATGAGCCACCAATTGTAGATATGGGAGAACTCGGGCCAGTACGATGCAATCGTTGCAAAGCATACATGAGTCCCTTTATGCAATTCATTGATGCAGGTAGACGATTTCAGTGCTTGTTTTGTAAAGCTACCACAGAAGGTAACATTGAATTTATTTACAATCGATTCTCATGAGTATTCCCACCATCATTTATATATTGATTTTAACAGTTCCAACGGAATACTTTCAACATTTGGACCACACTGGTCAAAGAATGGACCGTTATGAGCGTCCCGAATTGATACTTGGAACTTACGAATTCACAACGACGCAGGATTACTGCAAAGTACGTTAACTATCATTAAGTCGATCAATATCTACCACAGCAATAATCATTTTTTAAAAGCAATAATGTAACTTTGTAGAATAACACGCTACCAAAACCACCAGCAATTATTTTTATTATCGACGTCTCCTACAACACAATGAAATCAGGCTTAGTGAAGCTACTCTGTGCTCAAATGAAAAAAATCATTCGCAATTTACCAGTGGATGCAGGCCAAACCAAATCCAATATGAAAGTTGGATTCATCACGTACAGCAACACAGTGCAATTTTACAACATCAAATCAAGTCTTGCCCAGCCACAAATGATGGTCGTTGGCGATGTGCACGATGTATTTATGCCTCTTCTCGATGGTTTTCTCTGCGATCCGGAAGAAAGTGAAGCTATGATCGATAGTCTTATGACTCATATTCCAATAGCGTATGCGGAAACTCGAGAAACGGAAATTATTCTTGCACCGGCTATACAAGCTGGCTTGGAAGCCTTAAAAGTAAGTGGCTGAATGTTAAGTGTTATTTTTCGGACGTAGAATCGAGTGGTGACGCAATTGTTATCACTTTTAAGGCATCTGAGTGCAGTGGCAAGCTAATGGTATTCCATTCGTCGTTGCCAATTGCTGATGCTCCAGGAAAACTTAAAAACCGGGATGACCGAAAGCTTTTAGGAACAGACAAGGAAAAAACCGTCATTGGTAGTTTGTTTCACTGATGAAATTTCTTTAATTGACATACAATTTACTGTCCCAAAAATATAACCAACTTTGTGCGTTTTTTCAGCTCCGCAAACTAACTTTTACAATAATCTTGGTCAAGATTGCGTAGAAGCTGGCTGTAGCGTTGATTTATTTGTCTTCAACAATTCGTACATCGATATTGCAACCATTGGCCAAGTTTGTAGGCTAACTGGTGGTGAAGTGTACAAATATACATACTTCCAGGTACATAAATACTTGTATGTTCTATTCCATTGTATAATTTTGCAATTTATTTATTAAAAATATTTTGCCTATGTATAGGCCAATTTCGATGAAGAGAGACTGATCACAGATATTATAAATAACATAAGTAGACCCATTGCATTTGACGCAGTTATGAGAGTTCGAACATCTACAGGTGTCAGGCCAACCGATTTTTATGGACATTTTTACATGTCAAATACAACCGATCTAGAACTAGCTAGTATAGATTGTGATAAAGTAAATATTTTTTTATTCTTGTACAATTATTCTTGATCCTAAATTTATCGCCAACTTTACAACAGGCTCTTGCACTGGAAATCAAACATGACGACAAATTGGCGGAAGATGAAGGTGTGTATATTCAAGCTGCATTGCTGTATACATCCTGCAGTGGAATCCGAAGATTACGGATAATCAACTTGAGTCTAAAGACCTCATCACAGATGGCCGAACTTTACAGATCTTGTGATTTAGATGCCATTATTAATTACCTTTCCAAACAAAGTCAGTACTTCACTCCACTCAATTTTATTATACTAATTTTCACACAAAATAATTCGGTTTTTTATTTCTAAAGGTGTATTCAAATTGGTTGATGCAACTCCAAAATTAATTAAAGACAGCTTGATATCAAGATGCGCCACTATTCTTGCGTCTTATAGGAAACACTGTGCGACTCCATCAAGTGCTGGGCAGTTGATACTTCCAGAGTGCATGAAACTATTGCCCCTCTACATAATATCATTACTAAAAAGCGATGCCCTCACAGGAGGTAAACAATCAAACTGTATGTCTTGTGAGTGGATTCTCGATTATTTAATTGTCGATGTTGATGAAATTTCAGGAAATGGAATAACGATCGATCAAAAAGTCTACGTGATGATGGCAATCGCGACAATGCCGATCAGCGAGTCTATCGCGCACGTTTATCCCCGTCTACTTCCTTTACATGACGTTGACCCTACGGAGGGAGACTTGCCACCTATGCTGCGCTGTTCCATTGATAAGTTTACCGACGATGGAGCATACTTGTTAGGTAAAAGAAAATTAACAAAGAGCCATTGCTCGTAGGCCAGTTAAATCATCTGAAAAATTTTATTCTGCAGAGAACGGGATTCACATGTTTTTATGGCTGGGCTTGAATATTGCCCCGCAATGGGTACAGGAAGTATTTGGGGTCCCATCAGTTGTTCAGGTTGATACCGACAAGAATTTCATTCCTCTGCTGGATACTCAATTGAACGAGCGAATCAGAGATATCATTAGCCATGTACAGAGCGAAAGACGTTATTGCATGCGGGTAAGTCAATAAGATTTATAATTTTTTTTTTTTTTCTTACAGTCAAAACGTATTGTAACATTTAATATTTCTTACAACAGCTGACTCTAGTGAGACAACGGGATAAGATGGAAGCGGTGATGCGTCAATTCTTAGTCGAAGATCGAGGCATAGATGGTAATCCGGGATATGTAGACTTTTTGTGTCAAATGCACAGAGAAATCCGAACGCTTCTTAGCTAGTGTAAATTAAATTAAATTTTTAAAACTAAACTCTCTAAAGAAAATTAAAAAAATTAATAAATAAAAAAAATCAATTCATTTTGAGTAGTGTGTAATAAAGTTTATTTGTGGATGCATGAGTGAAATAGAGTGGTTGATTTATTGCGAGAGAGACTAAAATGAATAAAAAGGGGAAAGGAAGTTAGAGCCCGCGTTAGGATGATGAATGGGTGAGGAGTGGGTTATTTGTACAAGAGTATATTTTAAAGGATTACTGTATTATTGTACTGCATATTGTGTCAATAGCTTTGTTATCGTCTATTATTAGTATGCTGATTGAAAACTAATTGTTAATATGTAACAAAAACAGTTATAAATTTATACACCAAGCCAAAAGTGTTAATGATCAATCCAAGTGCATTAATTGACCTTATAATTTTAAGTCTCTATTGTACCTAATTGTATATTTCTTGAATTTTAGTATGTCCTGTATATTAATATTAAATTACAGTTTTAAAAAAAATCAACCACTTGTTTTTTTCAATTAATCATAAAATTTTCATTATAATGTTTATTCATATGAGTGCATTATTTGTATTCACCAGTAACTATCATTAAGTCGATCAATATCTACCACAGCAATAATCATTTTTTAAAAGCAATAATGTAACTTTGTAGAATAACACGCTACCAAAACCACCAGCAATTATTTTTATTATCGACGTCTCCTACAACACAATGAAATCAGGCTTAGTGAAGCTACTCTGTGCTCAAATGAAAAAAATCATTCGCAATTTACCAGTGGATGCAGGCCAAACCAAATCCAATATGAAAGTTGGATTCATCACGTACAGCAACACAGTGCAATTTTACAACATCAAATCAAGTCTTGCCCAGCCACAAATGATGGTCGTTGGCGATGTGCACGATGTATTTATGCCTCTTCTCGATGGTTTTCTCTGCGATCCGGAAGAAAGTGAAGCTATGATCGATAGTCTTATGACTCATATTCCAATAGCGTATGCGGAAACTCGAGAAACGGAAATTATTCTTGCACCGGCTATACAAGCTGGCTTGGAAGCCTTAAAAGTAAGTGGCTGAATGTTAAGTGTTATTTTTCGGACGTAGAATCGAGTGGTGACGCAATTGTTATCACTTTTAAGGCATCTGAGTGCAGTGGCAAGCTAATGGTATTCCATTCGTCGTTGCCAATTGCTGATGCTCCAGGAAAACTTAAAAACCGGGATGACCGAAAGCTTTTAGGAACAGACAAGGAAAAAACCGTCATTGGTAGTTTGTTTCACTGATGAAATTTCTTTAATTGACATACAATTTACTGTCCCAAAAATATAACCAACTTTGTGCGTTTTTTCAGCTCCGCAAACTAACTTTTACAATAATCTTGGTCAAGATTGCGTAGAAGCTGGCTGTAGCGTTGATTTATTTGTCTTCAACAATTCGTACATCGATATTGCAACCATTGGCCAAGTTTGTAGGCTAACTGGTGGTGAAGTGTACAAATATACATACTTCCAGGTACATAAATACTTGTATGTTCTATTCCATTGTATAATTTTGCAATTTATTTATTAAAAATATTTTGCCTATGTATAGGCCAATTTCGATGAAGAGAGACTGATCACAGATATTATAAATAACATAAGTAGACCCATTGCATTTGACGCAGTTATGAGAGTTCGAACATCTACAGGTGTCAGGCCAACCGATTTTTATGGACATTTTTACATGTCAAATACAACCGATCTAGAACTAGCTAGTATAGATTGTGATAAAGTAAATATTTTTTTATTCTTGTACAATTATTCTTGATCCTAAATTTATCGCCAACTTTACAACAGGCTCTTGCACTGGAAATCAAACATGACGACAAATTGGCGGAAGATGAAGGTGTGTATATTCAAGCTGCATTGCTGTATACATCCTGCAGTGGAATCCGAAGATTACGGATAATCAACTTGAGTCTAAAGACCTCATCACAGATGGCCGAACTTTACAGATCTTGTGATTTAGATGCCATTATTAATTACCTTTCCAAACAAAGTCAGTACTTCACTCCACTCAATTTTATTATACTAATTTTCACACAAAATAATTCGGTTTTTTATTTCTAAAGGTGTATTCAAATTGGTTGANAGGTGCTACACGAAAAAAAATTGCATCTACTGTAACAGATGTACAAGAACGCATTAAAGATTGGTTGCGTAGACCATCTGACAGGCAGAAAAAAAAGAGAGGAGTCAATCAACAGCCTATATTGTGATTAATTTTCTAATTGTGCTTAAACCAGTGATTCTTAAGTATGACATAAGTATAAAGTATTTTGTAATCGTAAAAAAACAATTGTAAAAAATACACTTTTAAAAATATCTATTATAATGAAGGCATCGTGCAATTCAAAGAACTATAGATACCTTTGAATTGAATGAATTGATTGATTAATTTATAATTTAAAGGCCATTATTCAAATGAATTATAAATTTGTTCAATTTAAAGGTATCTGTGGTTCTTTGAGTTGCGTAAATGCTACTATTATATTATTTAATACTATTTAAACGATACCCTCAAGATATCATTTAATTTACACAGCAGATATCTGTAAGATATCATTGAATTTAGCACCACAGATATCTAAAAGACATCCTTAATTCTTGCTCAAAAGACATCCATAAGAGATCAAAAACATTTACGGTATGACAACAGCAGACGTCTAAACGTTATCAATTAGTTGTCATTAGCTGATGTTTGTTTGCTGACAACTGATAACAATACGATGTCTTATCGACAATGCTTTGGCGTCAATTTGACATCTTGCCGATGTAGTTTTGATAACTTCGGTAGATATCAGCTGACAGTTCAATGATGTCGTGTAGATGTCTTATTGTCACCTTAATGTTTTGTGGGTATACGGACATTTTTTTGCTTCGGGCGTCATCGGGCTTCATCGGTGGCCTTCGCTTATATGTATGTAATTCAATTAGCGCCATTTAGATTTAGTGTGCGATTTTTCTCGTCACTCATAGCTCATAGACCCTACTAACGTTTTTTTGGATGGCGAAGAAAAGCACAACTCATATTTCGCCGTTCAAAACGACACAGAAAAATCTGAGTTGGGTTTTTTTTCATCCGGATTGTCTTTTGACTTTTCTTCGTCACCTGAAGTAAAAAACGTCCATTACAATCCCGAAGCCACGAGATTTCTCTAGAATAATTGCTGTACTCAACTTCTTAAATGGTGCTGATTGTAAACGATGACATGAACTGATAAACGGTGTATATAGGTCACGGCGGTCACGCATTAATGCAGTAATTACTGTAGCGGCGATTGATATACATATCGAATACCGACATGATATTTACCGACAGTGGTTGACTACCGACAGTGACGACCGTCCGTGGTTCGGTATAGCTGGTATCGATGTATCCCAATTACTGACAGTCGGTATTCAAAACATGAACTCCTAGCCTACTGTCGGTATTCGATGCATGTATCACTGTCGGTACACATAATATGTCGGTATTCGATATTATCGACGCTACAGTGCGTACGTTTTACCGCAGACCGCCGTGACCCATATATAGGTATACTCAAGCATCGTTCATCAGTTCATGGCACCGTTTACAATCAGCACCATTTAGCTGGCATTATTCTTGAGAAATCTCGTGGCTTCGAGACCCTACGGACGTTATTTGGCTTCAGGTGTGACCTTCAAGAGCAAAGGTCACCCCCACCGACGAAGCCTAATATCACGCCCGAAGCGAAAAAACATCCGTAAAAGGTATCCGGCCCCGTCGAATATAGCCAGTTTGACGGTGGATAAAAAAGCACAACTCAGATTTCTCTATGTCATTTTGAACGGCAAAATCTGAGTTGTGCTTTTCTTCGCCGGCCAAAAAAAAAACGTCAGTAGGGTCTATGAGCGACGAGAAAAATCACACGCTAGATGGCGCTGATTGAAGTAAACACTCGAGCGAGGGCCGCCGACGAAGCCCGATCACGCCCGAAGCAAGAAAACGTCAGTAGGGTCTATGAGCGACGAGAAAAATCACACGCTAGATGGCGCTGATTGAAGTAAACACTCGAGCGAGGGCCGCCGATGAAGCCCGATCACGCCCGAAGCAAAAAAACGTCCTCAGGGTATCGGAGCCACGAGATACCATACACATATTACGCTAATAAAAAAACCTTGTTAAATAGAAAAAAATGTACACAAGATACGTACACACACTGGATTAAGGGTTGGCCTATGCGATTTATAAGTGATGACTTATCACTCGCGTATGCCGCGATGCTGCCCTGCACAGTCAAGGGTGTGGGAAGTATAGTTAGCCACATGTGCAGTCTGCAGTGTGCATTAAAAGGGGGGGGGGGGCAAGACGACAAGAGAGTGAGAGATTTAGTAAAAGCGTCGTCAGCTCCATGCTCCATGCTCGAAGCTCTAATGACAGCTGATAACAAACCCGCGATTAGTAAATTCGAACTGTAGGGACAGTGACAGCATTGTTTATTTATTTACGTTAACATTTGTATGTAAAGTGTTGTAACGTAGTATCAAATAAAGCAAACAGCACGGGCGTTTATTTTATCATAGGAAGAATTAAAGGTTAACGGCTAACTCGCTCTTATCGATGTGACAACTTGTTTATCATGAATATAAAATCAGCTGTTACTTACCACACGTAACATAGCAATTAAGTGATGCTCTAATTGTTGCTTCGGATCATGTGATACGTAATTTCAGATTTTTATGAACATAGCAGTGCAAGGAGAAGTGTCATTAATTAAAAGATGATAACGATGATTTGATAATACTGATGATGATTACATGGACGAAATGTAACAAAGATAGATAAACTGCAGTAGATTAGACAACAAGCTGCGGAAGTACAGAAAGAACCGGTCGGCCTGCTCCTGTTTTTCATGGATAATGCGAGCCGTTTACGACAGACCCGCTGTTAAGTGCAGCTGGTTGTCTTCGACGTCAGTTAACGTTTATTTCCGTTCAGGTAAGTGTAGATGTAGGTTTTTCGTTATGCTCTCGTTTGTTGATAAGGTTTTTCAATGTTGGGATTTCATTTGAAGGGTCAATACTTTGCTTGCAAAAAAGTCATTGACAGCTCTTGACTCCTCCTTGCTCCTAGACGTATAAGTATGCGGAGGGGAGGAGCATTTATCCAATAATAAAATGATGACAACAGGTGTTTTTTAATACGAATAAAGTACACTCATGTGTGACAGTTGGTTTATGTTTATGTGCTTGATTGTACCCCTACATTTCACTTGTCAAAGTAAGACAAAGAGTTTTTTTGATGCTTCTATCATACTCATGTATAAATAAGGCACATCTGTGAATCAGTCATGCCTGAAAAACCAAAAAAATTCATACATTTTATTTTCTGACATCAATGTACATTGATTGGATTGTTTGTAATAACAAGTTTATGGCTTTTATGCGAAAAGTTGTTTTTGTATTTCAAAGTTACATTTGTAATTATTTGTAACAAAAAGTAATCCAAAAACTTGGTGAATAAACCCGTATATTTTTTAAACTAGGAATATTCATGAAAGGAAAAAAATGCTTCGTAGAGACTTGGTCCTATCCATTGCAGTCTTCCTGATTGCGGTGACTAATTATTTCAACACCCTGTTCTACATAATACTTGGATTACTGATACTATGTGGAACAGCATTTGGACCTGGAGCTCTGTATTATTCCTATGTACAGTTATCACCCACATATCCCAATGGCTGCAAATACGCTCTTCTTGGTGCTATAATCTTTCTAATCTCAGTATTATACTATTTTGATCTGCTAGTCTTTATATTGTACGGATTGCTTACGGCATGTGGCTTGTTACTTGGACCCTTCATTGTTATGCACATGAACGATGATTTATCAGCTAAAAAACCTATGGTTAAAAAGAAGACCGAAAATACAGTTAATATGATGAATTCATTCCAAACTTTAATGTTGGTATGTATATTTTTGTTGTTGGATTTCATTGTACTTTTTCATCAAATGACGTTAGAATTCGCAATACATGAAATAAAAATCAGCCAAGTTCTTAACAAAAATAATTCATAGGTGACATAATACATACATACCTCTAGAGTGATACGATAAGTTGTATTGAATAAAAAAACTGAGTATTTCCTTGACTTACAAAAAGCAAATATTAGCCTTTGAATACTCTCGGTTTGAAAAATAAAAAATAAAACTCCATCCCCCAGTATGAATGTTAGAGAGTTTATTACCATTTCAGAGACAACCTTACTTTAACAACGAAGAAAACACAGATCCAGGACGATATCCCCTTGTATTTTCGCGACTCGTGGACGGAGCTCTGTTGAACCTTTTAGACATCGTATTTCGTGACTTTGTCTACTCTTGGCTGAACGACTTGGCAGTCGGCTCTGATGAGCTGATTAGTATTATCAAGCAAGACTTGTGGGAGGCAATTAGCGAAATTTATAAAAAAATGAAACCCATCGACCACACAAACTTGGTGGCTTGTAGTATGGTCAGCACTGTGACGGTTCACTTTGAAAGGATCAGAATAGCACAGGAAGAAGCGTGAGTTTTTACTTGAGCGTTTTTAAAATACGTACACTCATGAGGTAAATTCTTGATGTTCGCTTCAGGATTAACGGAGTAGAACCGAAATACCTGTTGTCGCCGCACTTGGCGTCCGAAAGCGAGGAACTGGAGTACTTGAGAAAAGTCAGCGAAGTCGTGATTATATTTTTTATGCCACGAGGCTATCAATTTTCCCCTACAAAGAATTTTTTAAGGGAAATTTTCACGTGCACAAGTAAGTTCATGGAATTGTCCTTAGACGTTGTTGTGCATTACAATAAAAAATCTATGCATCCTTACAGTTTTAAAGCCCCTCGTTGACACGATAACCGATCCAGACTACATAAATCAAAAGATCCTGTCTTACGTAGAGCAGCAAAAGTTGGTCGAGGCTCTGCACAAAAAGACCTGCGAGTACGCCAACTCCTTCGAGGACTTTATATCCTTGATCAAAGACACGCACGATCTCGAGGTGCTCAAGCGCATGAGGTACTACATCGTATCGGAGATCATGCAAGCCACCACGGCCCAGAACATCCAACGAGCTCAGGGTCTGGATCCCGAGAGTACAAGCTTGGGTAAGTCGGATGCCTCGCAGGGAAAAAAGCTCAAGCGTTACATCAGTCAGATGACGTACGCGAAGAACACTTGCGAAGCCCACATGCAAGCTCTTGGCTGGGACGATTATCCCATGGAAGACGACGACGTGATAGACGCTGTTACGGTGTCGGAAAGTAGAGTCACACCGTTGCGCGTTATTTTAGACAGCGTTGTAGGTACGGAGATGATGCGGGTTTATAAAAATATAAATATACACTACCTTTGTAATGATGGAAAATAAAATTTCATTTGAACCCTATAGGTAGGAAGTATTTAGGACAATTTCTCGAACAAGTATCTAGTCAAGGATTAGTTGGTTACTGGACAGCCGTCCAAGAACTGAGAGCCGCGGACAAATCCAACTGGCACCAGTTGGGTGCCGAAATTTTTTATACGTACATAGCGATACCGACCGCTGAAATTAAAGTCGACAAGGAGGCGAGGAAGCGAATGGAGAGCTTTTTATTGGGCGACAAGGGACCAGATGTATTTTACGAAGTTCAGGACACGGTGGTTCAGATAATGGAAGACAAATACTATCCTTCTTTCATAGTCAGCAAACAGTATAAAAATTTGCAAGAAACCTTGACCGCGGATGAAACATTAAATGGTTTGTGTGTACATCTTTTACCGTGACTGCACGAATATCGTGTAAATGTCGATTGTTTTCAGCCTCGATGAATGACGAGAGAGTACTTAACGGCACGATTTTGGACAATAGCACCGCCCTGGTAGGCGAGCACTCGAATTATTCGAGAAACAAGTTAGACCAGCTGCAGGAAAAATTGAGCAACAAAACGCAAGCTCTGAAAGCTCTGCAATCTTCGTTGAAGCCGGAAAGTAAGGTTTTGAGTATATTGGCGAGAGAAGTGGACAGGCTTCAGGGTGAAAAAAGACAATTGGAAGCGCATTTGAGCTACACCGAGATGTGGGCGGAACACTTGGGCCGCTGGAGAGCTGAAGTACAGAGTGCTGAAGTAAATAATTGCTCGATCCAATAAAAAAGCTGCATGTGCTTTTGTCAAAAGAATGGTATCGTTGATTTTTTTTTTTTTTTTTTTTTTTTTTTTTACTTCTAGACACCGGACAACGGCGACTCTCCTCATTTTGTTTTGGTCGTCGATATGATCGCGGACGAGGCCGACGAAAAGGGTATTTCATCAGGTTGGGTGGTTTTAAGGAAACTTTCCGAATTTCAAGAACTTCACCGAAAGTTGCGCCAATTGTCGCCTTGCGTAAAGAATTTAGAATTACCATCGCAGCCCCTGAAATTTTTTGGTAAAACCGACAGAAATGCCATGGAAAGGGCGAAATCGCAAATTCAAAAGTATTTGAACGTAAGATAATAAACTATCACTTTCATCCGATTGTACTTAGTCGTAATCATAAAAATAATAATTTCATGTGTATGCATTTAGTTTGTCTTGGAAGACGATCGTTTGAATCAAAGCGAGGCACTGTATGTTTTTTTGAGTCCAAGTTCAGAGCGGTTGAAACAGAGCAACACTCCGTCGCCGAAGAAATCACGATTTTCTTTAACGACCTTTTTTAAATCGTAAGTTATCGATACACGTTCTGGGAAAAAGTAAGGAATGACTAATATTTGAGTTTGTTCACCTTAGAAGTTCGGGTAGCAGCGGAGATTCTCGTGACAAGGACGAAGAAGATGACACTTCGTTGTTTGATGATAACGAGGGCTCCAGGACTGTCACTGACACTTTCTTTGGGCCGGGAAAAGACTCAATTGCGGAGCCATTGTATGCTTTGCTCGAGGAAATTTTTGACTTAAGGGGCGTCTTTCGCTGGCTCAGGCGATCCCTCATTACTTTTGTCCAATTGACTTATGGACGAACTATCAATCGGTAAAACACAGTTTACACCCAAAATCGTAAGAAAATTTATGCGAACCATGATTTTATTTTAAATTGTGATAATTTACAATCCACAGCCAAGTGAGAGACACAGTCGCTTGGATATTTTCCGAGCCCATGCTTCATTATTATATTCAACTGTTGACAAAGTCCTGGTGGCCAAACGGTCAGTTGGTTAAGGAGACGCCAGTTCGGACGGGCGACGATAAGTTGAAGACACGCGTGGAGGCTCGCCAGCAGTTTTTAAACAATGTACCTGACTTTCTGACAAATCTAGTCGGAAACGAAAGCGCTCAAAGAGGGTCGGCCAAAATATTTGACGCCCTGCAAAACGTGACATTAAACAAACAGTTATTTTACGTAAGTTGTTTTTTTTTTTTTTTTTTTTTAACTTTTTTTTGCTCTTTTTTTTTTTTTTTTTTCTTCCTATTTTGGGAGGCAATACTTCAGTTGGGTAATAACGTTGCAATTTAATGTGTGTTTCAGGATGTCTTTGAGGTTGTGATGTATGAGATGTTTCCAGAGTTAAAAAAAGAAAAATATTAAGTATTTTTACATACAACAAACACGTTATTATCGATTTTTGGTAAATTTTCAAATGACTTGGAAATAGTACATTCAACAGCCAACTGCCAAATTGATGAGAGATAAGGTTCGTTCAGATTTTTTTTTTCTTTTTAATAGATAAGTACAATGGTACTCTGTGAGGTGCTACTACCGTTAGTTACTCAGTATTATTTAAACAATGACACACGCTCGATCAAAACATTTATTGTTATAACATGAATCACAAAAGTATTCCAAAAATTTATTTCTTAGTCATAAGTTATTGGTTTTTGAAAAAACGAAAAATTCTTCTATTGTTTGATGTGGTGCTATGGTTACCAAAGAATAATGGAGTTGAATACAAACATTTACATTGATTTTATGAATATTTTATACTAAATATTTACTAATTTTTGCACACTTAAACTTAAGTAATACCTAATAAAACTAGTTAATTTTAGCCCTACTTTGTTTAAAAAAAAATATATACATTATATATTTTGTTAAAACTATTTGAATAATAAAAATTTTTTAGTTTCATTTATAAAAATTGCATATCTATAAAACGTTAAAATGATTTGAGTTGATTTGAAAACACTTTAAAATGTTTAAAACAAAAAATGATAAAAATAAATTGTTAACTCAATGTTCGAAAATGTATATTCTTACTGTATCAAAGATGTACATTCTAACTGAACTTCTCAATTTAATAATGTATAAATGATTAATGTAAAGGATCTAGAAAATAAATGATATATGAAGTTGAACATAAATGTGAATCATCGAATTTACTGCATTGTGAATAGACCAGTCAGCGCACAAAAAAACACAATTTTCATGATGTAGTTGGCTCATCCCAATGAGTTACTAATCTTTCAAAGTTTACTACTTAAAACTCTACTTTTCAAGAGTCTAAACTCACAGCGACAACAACGGAATACTGTTTCATCCAAAATCAAAAATAAATCGCGTAACATTCACAATAAATATTTAGTGAGATTTTTCATATTAATTTAACATTTAAAAATCACATGCTATGGAAAAATATTCAAGCTACTAATTGACCAAAATTTCGAATTAACTTTGATAATAATAATTAATTCAAAAAAAATCAGAGGACAAAAAGTAATGGATAAAAAATTTAATATGATAGCCCGTCTAAATAATACTTATTATACATCATCGTCGATGATCAATCATTCTTACCGCGATCTTTTCTTCGTAATTTACTAGGCATCGGTCATGTCGACAATGCTAATTACAAAAATGCAGCTTATTTGACGGAATTCCAATGACTTGGACTGTTTATCCTCCATTTCGTCGACCGTCTTCAATAACTCGTCCTCATATGATTGTACAAAACAACGCAAATCGATCAGAGTCAAGTCATTTGCTGACTTATATTTTTATCAAGTATATTATCAAAATCAAAAGTGACTCTACTGTGATAATGTGCAGTTATACTGTAGATGATGGACATTTTTTTGTATATTACCTCGAATTGTTTTTAAACTTATCTTAAGAAGAACTTTTAAAAAAGTATTCGGATTTGTTTACTTAATTTTTTAAAAACGCAGATCTAAAAGTAGTAAGCTTCAAATAATCATTACCTTTTAAGATAAACCAATTTATGTCATAAAATTTTCTGCATCATTAAAACTTTTTTTGGCTATTTTTTCTAGCCTGACGACTGGTCTATACAGATAAAGTGGCAAATCAAATTGTAAAAATGAATGTAAGAACCTGTCATCCCTAAAATATGACTGTTCACTATACGTATAAAAAAGAAAAAAAACAATAAAAATTTTAACTCCAAATAAATTACCATCGCAAATTTTATCAAGAATACAATTTTTAGTTTCTTTATAATTCATTTTTTATTAAAAACATCTGTTTATTTTTAATTTAATTGAAACCACCGAAAATATAGTGTTATCTTCAAAAATTTACTTTAAAATTTACCTTCCCTGTTAATAACATTTATTTTTAAATCCATAAGATCACACACCACGTAAATCATGTTCGTAAGTATATTAATCTAAGATAGAAATGAAGCAGAAAAGGTAAAGTTAAAAACCAAAACTATTTTAACGACGTAGATCGTTTTATTTTCCCACGCCGCACAATGTCACATATAATATATATATATATTAAACAATCATCTAAAATTACATGATCACGGCTGCTATACAAATGTTACAATAATTGATGTCCAACCCCTTACTTAGTAACTTTTTCGAGCATAACCACACCGCACGTGCGCACACACTCGTATATAATTTATATTATAATGCTTTTCATATTCTCATATAATAGCATCGTCACCTCGTACTCTAGTATATACATGTGTAATTATCATGTATGCGTTTATTTACACATTGATGTAACGTACATTTTTATCTTTTTTTTTATGGACTATCGTGTATTGTATCGTATAATCTACACTTATTTAGTTCTTTTGGCACTGAAAACAGCATTATTTGTTAGAATAGCGTAACCGCGGAAGCAAATTTTAATTTAGGTTCATATTTAGGAAATTATTTGCCAATAACCACCTCTTTCCATTCGTTTTCAATTGTTCGAAATTTTTCAAAATTCATGGACATGCTGTCATGTCTGACAAAAAATAAATTGCCAAAAATATCATTTGCAATTATTTATAACAATTTTTTGAAAATTCAAGTTAAAATAGTTCAGGACAATTTTTTGTCACACTCGAATCTAAGTGATTTTTTTGAGATTAATTAATACTTGATCATGAAACGAAGCAAATAACACTACATTTAATGGTTCAACAGTTATTGAAAAGTGTGTATCTTTTGAATCTGATTTTACTTTATTTACATAATTTGTATTCAATGGATCCGTGGTTGAGCCCTTTTTTTATCTTAAGGAAGCCAAGCATAACTTCCAAAGTTACAATGCGATTTATCTTTGTCATCACTAACTGTTAAATTAAATATTTATTAACTATTAAATGACATATACATATATTTATATTTCCTTAACAAAAAGTAATGCCTATGGTAACTCTGTGAAAATAGATGATTGTATTTTTATTCGAAAGTGCGATGAGCACTAAATTGGTATTCAATTTTTTTAGGAGTGATTTTCTAGTTTTCTTTATGAGAAAACTCATTCGTAATAACTGCTATTTACGTCAAATAACGATTATTACATTATTAAAAACGCAAAGTATACATTCACTGATAATAATAATGATCCCGTATTAAACTTTTGTCTACTTTTAGTTAAATTTCGTGATGAAGGTCTCTATATTGTGATTGTGTATAAATTTACATCGATGATGATGTACATTATTTAAAACCAATATATAAATTAAATCAGTACTATAAATGTCTACAATTTTTATTACGTTGTTCTTTTCTAAGAAAAATCTTAAGTACAGAAGTACGAGTTGACGTGTATGAACGATTTGCTAATGCGTTTAAGTATATCGCGTTACATAGAATAAAATAGTAAAAGTGTGAATTTTGTTTATTGATTTCTTTCGCAATAGTTATTGTGCAGTACGTTATATGGTATTTATGCAAAAGTAATATTTTTCCCCTTAAATACTTTTAAAATAACAAAAATGAAGTCAATTTTCCATAATTATTTACTCGTTGAAATTTAGTATTAGTTTTTATTATTATGTCTCTATTCATGTATATACATATATGTAACTATATGTGTACATACATTTATGTACATATTTTACGTTAGATCGTTTGTCACAAAGTATCGGCAAGCTTTTTTTAAAAACATAAAATAAAACTAATGATTTTTGAAAAACTTTGTTATTTTTTGCACAGCCATGTAAATTTACATCTTTCTCTCGCCATAAGCATGTATTTTCAGTTATTTGAAGAACACTTTAGAAAAGTAAATTTAAATCAGAGTATTCGTAAAAAAATCTATTATCTATACTTATCATTGGTAATGGTGATAGATACATAATTAATAGTATATTAAAATGTAAAGAACGTGTATTGAAATTAAATTCATGTAAAAATTGAATACCACCACCATCAATCTACAATAAAAAGATAGTTAATATTATCTTTACGTTGCTTCAAGTAACATTAACTTTCAGCTTGGCGTTATTTACTTCGCAATCCTTCAACAATAATGAAAATTTATTATCAAATTCACTTAACATATAGGTTTAAAAAATTAAATTTTCCATAATAATTATAGAGCAGCGCATTTTTCTCTGAGGCTTTTACAGTTAATTTTTTATACACTTCAATTAATATGTCGCAGTTAAGTATGTAATACTGTTTTGGTTTAACAATAAGAAATTGTCAGGACAAAAAGGGCCATAAA